TTTTTCCATTTTCTTTAGCCACTGACACTTTATTCATTTGGGTGTTCAGTAACAACGATAAAAAACAGCAAGCAAAGAATCTTTAAAAGTCATAGCGTTGGTTTTGCGAAATAGTTCACAGAACAAGGTGACCGTTTGTGGAAAGTTAAGCTTGATTTGCTGTGGTTATTATTTCATTGGATAAACACCTAAATATACATGGAGTTAGATTATTAAAAACAACTGCTGGCTTTTTTTTATGTATGTATATATTTATACACAGTAGATTTCCGGCCATTAGACTTGTGTTCGAAACCTACCGTGGTCAGTTTTGACAGAATATGACTTCTTGATAATATCGATCTGTGGAGACGATCCCAGCATGCAACGCGGTTGGGAACTACCTAAAATACAAAACTGATGTTGACCCAGATCGAAGGATAAACAGAACGACGATCAATTATACTCGAGCTAAGTTGAAGTAAGGGATTACCTAAAAGAAAGAAATTACTCTTTTCTATACAGATTTGAATATACAAGTTGTCCATATAGTCTCTTTACAATATAAAAATATTAAAAAAAGGCAATTCATTAGATGTGTTCTATGTACTTAGTATTTATCAAATTATAAATTACATTGTATTTGTCTATTTCAGCTATCCTTTTGATGAAAGACGGCCTGTTAAAAGAACACCTAACATTTCCAGACCGGTGGCCACCTCGTTTACTAGATATCACGTCCCTTGACTTCTTTCTATGGGGTTATGTTAAATGTATCGTGTATCGAACAAAGATACGACACATCACTGATCTAAATCAAAAGATTACAGATGCCATTTCGACTATTGGTTTGGTTATGCTACAGCGAACATGGCAAGAAACCGTGTACCGTCATGACGTGCTCTGTACAAGTAATGGTGTCCATATTGATGTGTACAAAATTAGTTAAACACATTCAATATCTACTCTTTTTGTAACAATTTCCGCATAGCTGTCTGTTCATTTATCGCCCTAAACCCTCACAGGTCGTCCAAGACGTCCAATACCGCGGCTGATCGATAAAGTGATCACTTCGATCCAGGTCCTGCCTTATCCCACGTTGTGATTTGCTTTGATCATAAAACGACCAAGATCGAATCGTCGTTAGGTATATTTGTATTGGGCTGGTTCAAGTAGGGCCAAAACGCAAAGAAAGAAAATAACCCTCGAATAAATTAAAAAATAAATAAATACTATTTTTATATCAAGACCTTCGTACAGTAATGTGTTCGCTTGCAAAAAATTATCGGCCCAACTCTCTTCTAACACGGACGTGACACTTTGTTGACTTGGTAAAGTTTGTTTTATTGATTTGGTAAAGTTCGGCACAAGGCGAATGTTCACGTCTGCAGATAATCATGTTGGTTGTCTCGCGTGCGGTGGCTGGAACTCTCTCTCTCTCTCTCTTTCTTTCTCTTTCTCTCTCTCTCTCTCGCTTCGGGGCATTCGTATTTATTGACGTTCGCCTAAAGCGGGGCACAACGCAGTTGGGGAATTCGGTGTTTTCCCCTGCCTATCATCTCCATTGTCTGGGTCCTTCATAATTTCGGTTAATTCTTCTCTTCCACGGATGATGTTTACAGGTATCACTTGTACCCCATAACTTCTACTTCCTCTTATTATCATCTCCCACTAATCCTCCCCAGTAGGCGTAGGTGGCTCCTCCACCTTCCTTGGTGACTCATCTGTGACCGCTATCTCAACCAGTATTAATTCTAAATTCGTTGTTTACGCAGAAAATTTTCCCATTTATAGCCCGTATTTTTACCTGTACGTGCGATCGACCAAATGTCAATCATTGTTGCCAACTGGCCTGCCGCAGTTCAAATGCACGTCAACCCTATGTGTTTTATTGTTCAAAGCCCCGATACACAATTCAGATAGTTCTCTACATGAGGATTAAAATCTTCAGTTTTTCCCACGGGGTTGATTCATTAACCTGTCTTATTTTTTCTTTATCAGGGATCTGTCAGTATATCGCTGCTTCTCTTAAAAAAAAAAAAACCTTCTTATGATTACTGGTAACTAATAATGTCACACATTTGTTTTTATAATATGTTTTAAAAGAATTTAAGAGACTTTATGGACACCCTGTGGTATGAATAATAATGATATTTATTAATGATTAATTATATGAAATTTGCCAATAATGCCAACAAATTGCGAAAAGTGGGGCGATGGTCATTTCTTCCACAATCATTGATCCAATATATGATATTTCCTTTCACCAAAACGTCATAATTCTCTTATCAAATACGCCAAAATACCACAGCTTCTCCATGCTACGATAACTATCCAGAAACTATTGACCATCTGGTATCAGGTTGCACAATGTTAGCACGAGCTGAATATAAAACTCGGCATGATAGATTGGGCCAATATCTGCAGTGGAAAATATGTCATTTTTACGGGAAAGAAACTGCACGAGACTGGTATGAACATCACCCAGACTCGGTTAGAGAGACGAGACATGGAACAATTTTATGTCACTTTACAATACACACAGACAGAATAATCGAAGCCTATCGCTCAGACATCATGATCAAAGAACGCAAAAACAGAATTATTGATATGGCAGTCCCTGCAGATTGGAATGTATCTTTGAAGGTTTTCAAAAACTATCAAATTACAAGGGTCTTGAAGAGGACACATAAAAAATGTGGCACATAAAGACATCAGTAATCCCAGTTCTAGTTGCAGTACTCGGATTGATCGGAAAATGTTCGAATAGACTCATTGAAGGGATTCCTGGAAGCCCATGCGTTAAAGACATATAAACAATTGTACTCACAAGTACAGCTCACACATTTCGAAGGGCTTTATCTATGTAAAATGTGCGTGATCTTCGTTGTTTTTTTAGCAAAAAAAGATCAGTGGAAAATGTCATGAAGCCATTTCTGACCTTAGGTCTCTGTTTGGGACCTAGAAGAAAATGTGTATACAAGGAAATAAAATAATAATAATAATAATAATAATAATAATAATAATAATAATAATAATAATTAAATATAGAATCTCAATGAATATTTTCGGTACTCAAGTACGTATTTATGCTGAGGACACAACTAATTATTCCTTTCTTAATAGCAAATCTGATAGATCCCTCAAAGTAAAACTGGCAGATGGTCTCGAAAACTACATTCAATCGGTTGTTAATAGGAGCAAGAAATGGCTTGTAAGTTTTAACGCCACTAAAACGAAACTTCTATATACATTGCGTTTCCTTGGTTTTACACTTTCTATTGACAATTATGTGGAGCAATTATATTGAAACAATTGCTAGGTCTGCTGCTAAGAATGTTGTTCCAGTGTGTCGTGACAGACAATTTTTCTCATCGTAATCCATCTTGCACATTTATAAATCTATCAATCGTCCTTTCATTGAATTTTGATGCCATATCTGGTCTGCTTTCCCGGCTATTTATCTCTACAAATATTCTCGACAAAATCCCAAGATGGGTCTGTAATGTGATCAACCTTGACATGGTATTTCATTTTTGGTCACTTTTCGACTGCCATGATGTAGCTTGTCTCAATTTTTTTTTTTTTTTTTTATATATATATAAATACTTTCATGTCAATTATTCTAATGAGCTTTCCCGTTTGGTAACTTCCACCACTTGAATTAAAGCTTTCTAAAGGAGGAAGTAGGTGTCATCGTTTGTCATGGGAAATATTTATAGAAAAGTCAGAGTTTAGTCTCATTGAAAGATGCGTGCAGCATTTCGCTTCTCTTTTAGACATAGTCTGAATCATTATTATCTCTGTCTTTTCCTTCCTCCATATATATATATATATATATATATATATATATATATATATATATATATATATATATATATATATCGTTATATACCGTATGAACACTAATGGGTATATCGGTATGTCCCAATCCTCATAAATACGTTAATCGGGGTTAATGTGCGAAGTATTTCCCCACTAGCAGTAGTTTACCTATTTCACGCCGCTGGCGAGTATTGTATTTTGTTGGTGTTATAAAGATTACCATTTCAATTCCAACCTCTGTTTCGGTTATTCCTCATTCATTAACCTTCTCTGGGTTACAACAGAAAAGTCAGAATGAATACACATAACGGTATTGAAAATCTGACTTGAAGTCAAGATGCTTGCTTCGGACGGACAAATTTACAGATCCTTCTTTGGATTTTATCGAGAATCTCAAGATATATTGCAGGAGTTCAAAACCAGATATGACCGCTATATTCAGTCGACGGCGAATGGCAGATTTTATAAATGTGAAAGGTGGATTCCGGCGAGAGAAAAAAAGATCTGGCACGTCACAGTGAATCAATATTCCTCGACATTGATTGAATATAATCATAGTGGAAAGTACGAGACCAAGAAGGCGCAATGAATTTCACTAATAGAGGTTAGCATCAGCCATACTGATGGAAGAGAAAAGTGTTCTCTATTATGATTAAGAGGTAGAAGTTTTAATTTGGCACCTAATGGAGAACGGAAACATCTTTCGCGTAAAGGGCGAAGAGAATGGTTAATCGAACTAAACCTGAAAAAAATGACAAAAATAAGTCCCGGAATCTAGGCTAGGATCAATATTATCATATCAATATTATCATATATTATTTGTACATCCTTCATTATTAAATTAGATTATTAAAAAAAATGTGAAGCAGCCTAGTCGCAGGGATTCCAACGCAGCCGTACCACATTCTTTATTCCCCTGAGAATATAGATTTCTATAGTTTACATGACAACTGTTATGGAATTGCGCAAGTTTTATCCTTGAATCATACGCATATGAAAAACAGATGTTAGGTAAAGCTTTAGTAGATAAATGCTCTTTAACGGGATCACTGCAAGCTACCACCTTAGATAAATTATCATATGTTATTAACTGAAATAAAATTAATAAAAAATAACTTATTCTATCAATTCACATCACAAAATAAAGCCCATATATTTTCGTAATATCTTTAGATGACGTGAAATTTCATAATGATCTAATAGATGGTATTGGAAAAACGGGTGCTGAAAAGAGAATGCTGAAAAGAGGGCGCTGGAAAAGAGTTCTCTTGAAAAGCGGGCGCTGGTAAAGAGAACGCTGAAGGGAGGGCGCTGGAAAAGCGGGCGCTGGACAAGAAGGTAATGGGAAAAAAACAGTGGAAAAGATGGTTGTGGAAAAAAGTGCGCCGGAAAAGCGGACGGTGGAAAAGTGGGCGACAGGGAAAAAAAACAAGCGCTGGAAAAGTGTCCGCTGGAAAAGCGGGCGCTGGAAAAAAGAACGCTGAATAGTGGGCGGTGGAAAAGATGGCAACGGGAAAAACAATCGCTGGAAAAGAGGGCGACAGGAAAAAAAACAAGCGCTGGAAAAGTGTCCGCTGGAAAAGTGTCCGCTGGAAAAGCGGGCGCTGGAAAAAAGAACGCTGAATAGTGGGCGGTGGAAAAGATGGCAACGGGAAAAACAATCGCTGGAAAAGAGGGCGACAGGAAAAAAAACAAGCGCTGGAAAAAAGAACGCTGAAAAGTGGGCGGTGGAAAAGACAGCGCAGGAAAAAAGGGCGACAAGAAAAAAAAACAAGCGTTGGAAAAAAGTGCGCTGGAAAAAAGTGCGCTGGAAAAGAGAGCGCTGGAAAAGTGAACACCGAAAAGAGGGCGGTGGAAATGAGTGCGCTGGAAAAGCGGGCGCTAGAAAAGAGAGCGACAAAAAAAAAAAAAAAAAAACAAGCGCTAAAAAAGCGGCCGCTGGAAAAGCAGACGCTGGAAAACAGGGCTACGGGGAAAAACAAGCGCTGGAAAAGAGTGCGCTGGAAAAGCGGCCGCTGGAAAAGAGAACGCTGAAAAGAAGGCGCTGGAAAAGCGGACATTGGAAAAGAGAGCGCTGGAAGAGAGGGTGCTGGAAAAGAGGGCGCTAGAAAAGTGGGTGCTGGAAAATAAGGAGAATTTTGAAGACCAACGCTATTTTTGTTTTGCTATTTTCCATTTTAGATAAACATTACTAGTTATTGGTGAAATATCTCGGTTTTTCGTAAAATATCTGTCTTTTGCTTGTTGTTGTTAAGTTTTCCTGATATATCATTAGAAAATATGGGTGGAACAGAATAAACTCGTTATCGTAAAAAATGAAAGAAAATGAGATCATGTGTAATTAACTTTACTTTTCCATTTGAAAAGTAATACCAAAGTTATCGTCAAATGAAATTCCTTTTTCCAACCGGAACCAAATAGAAATTTTTTACGCCCACAGTCTACACGATCGTACGCAAGAAAATACTCAAATCTTTGTGAATAGAAATATCAGATTATTATTATTATTATTATTATTATTATTATTAATCCCTCCTCCTTCGTATTCTTTTCCTTCCTTCTTAACTTTCTCCTCCACCTCCTGCTCCTTCTTCTTCTTCTCATCCTCCCCTAATCATTCGTATTCTTTTTCCTCCAACTCCTGCTCCTCCAGCGCATCCTGCTCCTCATTCTTCTTCTTCTTCTTCTTCTTCTTATTATTATTATTATTATACGCATCCTTCAATATGCCTTCGTATTCTTTTTCCTACTTCTTATCTTTTCCTTCCCCTCCTCATTCTTCTTCTTCTTCTCATTATTATTATTATTATTATTATTATTATTATTATTATTATTATTATTATTCTCATCATCCCCTACGCCTTCGTATTCTTTTTCCTCCTTCCTGCTCCTCATTCTTCTTCTTCTTCTTCTTCTTCTTATTATTATTATTATTATTATTATTATTATTGCGTTGATGATGCTGGCAGAAAAATGTAATAACACTGATCTCTTGCTGAAAATCAGATGTTTCCGTTTATGAAATAAAAATTACATAATAAAAAAGAAAGCTTTTATGTAAAACTATTCTAACTTTCAACGTTAATGAATAATAGAAGCATCGTTTTGTTTCTCGCTTTTGTCATTAAGAAAGATCTGATCGCTTGAGGACTTCCAATGGCAACAAGAACAATAGGTAACTCATTTGACTAGAAGTAAAAATCCTTATATAATAGAGATGTTAAATTTCCACCCTACCAAAAACAAAATGCTTGGAAGAAATCTCCCATCAATACTTGAAAATAGCATGAGCTTGATAGGTATTTGTTTCATTAAAAAGATATTTACAACTTTCAAACGAACTTTTAACCTGAACTGTTCAGAAAGGTATGCCTGCATCTCTTTTACTCACCGTTGTTAGGGTTTAGTTGGATTTAGATATCGAGGTTTGGTTAAAAATCAGTCAAATGCTTGATACATGTAAACAGTCTTGTGTTATGCAACTATTAAAGTCTGGCGTTATTCAGAAAAGCAGACACATTATTTAATAGAATTAAACGTAGTATGTAAATAAAAGACTAGTATGTTAATATTAGACATGCAAAAAAAAACTATTTAAAATATTCCATTAAAATTTAAAGTATATATATATATATATATATATATATATATATATATATATATATATGTGTGTGTTTGTGTATTATTGAAAAATAAGGCCTTTTTCACAGGATGAAATGCATCGGCTAATAATACAGTTTTCCTGTTACCTTTTCATTAATACATATTGTTTTTTTCTATAAGTTAATTCTGATATAATATATATATATATATATATATATATATATATATATATATATATATATATATATATATATAAAGAGAGAAAGCAAGAGAATAATTGGCATAGCCGGGATAATAGTGGGGACAACCTCCCACTTTCTATAAAATGTATCCCGGTACCTGCGTCTCAAATACCCTTTGTCCCACTCCAAGCCGCATAATTGGTGAAGGCAAACAACTGGCACATCATACCCAGCTGTTTCGAGTTGATGGAACTCGACAGCCCAGGTAGGCAGTCCATTGAGTGGAAATAAATCCCTGATTTTGAACCTCCTCTACCTTGCAGACATACCCAAACACGGAAAACTCTACGGAGCACCAACGTTAACTGTCAACACTGACAACTCTCCCGCGACTTTTGCAGCCAAGCCGAATCAAGTTGTACTGCCCTGTATTATTTTGGATCATGTCGGTACGGTCAGAGGAAGGTGAAATGTAGTCTGGGTAGAGCAGGGCCTCCATATATCACCGTCTAAGCCTGCGTCCTGAAGATGACCAAAGGATTGAATTTTGACCAAAGAGGGTGCTACCTTTATCCCGCGATATGAACGGATGCCTAATAGATAAGATAGATAGATACGAATCGTGAATTTTTTCAGTGCTATATTCACAACGTTTCGGGCGTTGTATGCTCCGGCCGTCTTCAGGTGATTGCAATTTCGAATCGAACCTTTTATTTCGTCCACCGGGGTATATACTTCTAGTTTAACGTGCCATGCCTCTTCCGGATGTCTCAGTTTTTATCCACTAATGATATGACCTAGTGGATAAAGACGTCGGTTAGATCCAGTGAATAGACCCAAAAAGTTGTGAATTCAATACCAGTGGTGACCCAAAAAACCTGGAGAGTTGACTTAAAGGGAAATAAGTGAGACATTCGAAAGGGGTATAGTAAGTGGAACTAGAACAATCTACCCTACTGGACGAAAAAGGTTTCGGTTCGAAATTACAATCACCTGAAGAAGGGTTTAGCTTCCAACGGCCGAAACGTTGTGAATATGGATATAAAAAGAGGATAACGTTCCGAATTATTTAAATAATGTCAGTCAGTTTTGTGCTATGCGTGATACACACGTAGACGATCATGTATCTTTCGATACATGACTGACAAGGCAGTTTCTTTTCCAGCTCTATGTTGTCATTTTTTTCTGCGGTAGACCAGTTGCCATCCAAGGCTATAGAACAAGGTCTCTCCTGCTATTTGCCCATAGCTGGGATGGGGAGAAAAAAGAGGATGCATTCCTTTTCTAAGTATTAGCACGTAAGTGAATGCAATTGTTTCGACTGGAATTCGAACTCTGTTCTCTGATTCCTCAGTCCGCGCCGCTATACATTACTCCACCGTGTCTTCCAAATAATGCATGTAATCATAATACCTTATATCAGAGATAGAGACAGAAACGTGAACATATATCATTTATTAATGAAAAAAAGACTGTCTTGATAGATGAATTGGTGACTTTATTTTAAGGAAAAGTCACTGCGTACGGCATGAATGAAAGATTAATCGAGGGAATCAAATTCAAGATTGGTTAAAGAAAAAGTAATGTTCAAATTCTACACATTAAAGGAATGAACATCTGACTCTGTAGATATTAATCCCCGTCCTGGGTAAGACGATAAACTACGCCCAACAGCAAGGCCTCTGGTCAGGAGGTTTTGAGGATCGTGGAACCACATCTTAATTGCTGGTGTTCCAAGGTCCACCCTGACCCGGGGTGGTAGCCCCTGTTAGGGTTCCAGCTATGGGCAAATAGTTGACACCCAAACTTGAGTAAAAATCGGTTTTAATACCAGAAATACTTTGTAATAAAAAAATCATTACCAGCAATAGTTTTGAAGGAAAAATTATTATCAGCAATACTTTAATAAAAAATACGAGCAATACAAACAGTTATACATTCTTTGAAAAAAAAAATATTACCAGCTATAGATTTCTTCAAGGAAAAATATTCCCAGAAATAGATTTTTGAAGAAAAACATATTACCAGCAATAAAATTTTTGTCGGTATTAAATAACCCATTGATGTTGATATGCCGTAAAACAAACCAAACCAAACCCAACTAGATATTAATCCATTAGAAGACATATAGTCCCTAATTAGTAAAGAAATCCATGGAAAAGAATTTCCATGCTAAGAACTCTGGGAAATAATAAAAATAACATAATTAAAATCGAAACTATAGAAAAGATAATAAACCAGTGATTGAAAAACTGCGCCATTTTCTAAAATGGCGACAATAACTCATGTAAAAAGTAAAATAATAGAAAATAAAGCAAACAAATTTTTTCAGGTATATTTGATAAATCTAGGGCTCTGTATACTATGTATTTTGGATTTATTTACAGAGATAAATTTGTATTGGAATTTTTTTAATGTAATTAAACCAAACTCAATAGCAAGTTTTCAATATTTTAATAACGATATTCTGTATTCTTAAACACATGTAATATTGCTTCATAAATTCAAGTGTATTTTGAAAACTATACCAATATCGGTTTGTTAATACGAGGCTGTCCTATATAACTTGTATAATAAAATCTGACATTCTATATGCATATGTATCTATTATAATCAGCGTATCATCTCCAATCAGGACGTGTGTAAGCGTTGACTCAACACAACTTACAATCCCATATGGTACTTAGTTTAAGTTTAGCGTTTCAGCATTCTTCCAGCTCTCATTTCTGTCATTTATTTACGCAACCTTGTTAGGCAGTTACTCCTTGTTTCACGCTTGCCTATAGTAGGTTGTTTGAGTGTCAACTTCGCCAAGCACTCTTTCCTCATTTGTGTCCATGATAAAACAAACAAATGAATATTCTCATGAAAATCATTGTTTTTCCTGCACTCAGATACGTTCATTTGATGACAATACAGAATTTGGGGGGGGGTATATTCTTCTTCTACGAACCTCGTCCCTTCAGAACATGGTCAATCATAGCTTTCCCAATATCATATAAAGTTGTTTTATTCCTTTTCTAAGACGCTCCGTTGTTCTGTCATCTATTCACACGCTGCTTTCGTATCTCACTCTTGCCTTCAGTGTGGCAAGTATTCCAAGCCTTCTTTCCTTATTATGTGTCCGAGGAATTTTAGTTGCCTTTTCATGATCCTGAGTATAAATTTTTGTTGTCATTTTCCTTAGGACTTTCTTGTTGGTTACTCTTCCCGTCCATTTAATTTTCAATATTCTTCTATCAAATCACATTTCTGTTGGCTGAAGTGTTCACCTTGCCCTTGGAGAGAGTGTTCTGTATCTACTGTCCTATAAGAGGATGGATAACACATGACAATCCAGCATTCATTTCTTCGTTCCAAACGAAGATTTTTCTTCTTTCTCAGCACCATGTCCAACTTTTGGAATGCTTCTTTTGCAAGTTCAATGAGTGTTCGTATCTCGGCGTCCCATTTCTCCACCCGCAATTAAAACACTTCCAGATATTTAAACTTTTGCAGCGGCATAATGTTTATATCTTTACTTCGTAACTTGGGCCTTTTCTCACACTGATGGCCACACTTTTGTCTTATTGCAGCTGGTGGTCAGTCTTTTTTGATGGTTAATCTTTTTTGATGTTTAGTCTTTTTTTTTTGTTTCGCTGTACAGCCAAAAAAAAAAACAAATCGTCTAACACACAAGAAGTAAATCTGAGACTGCTGGTAACGGTGACCAATCAATTTTATCGCATAACACAAATTAACAGAGACACGTTCCCCAACAATCCCGGGCAACGACAAATCACCCAGCTTTTATAAATGTTCGAAGAGTAAATAAACAAAAATACAAGTGGATATGTGTCGCCAACAACATTTGAAAGTTTAATTTAAATATTTCGCAAATTTACATTACTTTTTCATCACAGCTCATGAAATTTAGATTGGCTCGCCAAAGATAATCTCATATTTCAAATTTAGGGAAAATATAATTGCTTTTCTTTTCTTTTTTTTTTCTTTTTTGAAAATTCAAATAAGCAAGTCGTTAATGTTGCTCGAGTTATGTCCATTATTTTAACTCGAAAAATATTTTTGCTTTCGCTTTCGTTCATTTGTTTTTTCGTGAAAACTAACAAGGCGTCCGTATAATATATTTATTGCTATCTTCGTATATATCTGTTTCTTAATTCAGTCCCCTA